TGCAACCTCTGCCTCCCGGGTTCAAGAGATTCTCCTGCCTCAGCCTCCCTAGTAGCTGGGATTACAGGCATGCGCCATCACGCCTGGCTAATTTTGTGTTTTTAGTAGAGATGGGGTTTCTTCATGTTGGTCAGGCTAGTCTCGAACTCCTAACCTCAGGTGATCTGCCCACCTCAGCCTCCCAAAATGCTGGGATTACAGGCGTGAGCCACCGCACGGTCTCCTCCTTGATCATTTGTAATGATCATTCACATTGTTCTGCAGCCCATTTGTAAGTTTACAGTTCAGCAGTGTTACCTGTATTCACATTGTTCTGCAGCCAGTCTCCAGAACTTTTCATCTTGCAAAACTGAAATCCTCCTTCCCCAGCCCCTGGTAACCACCTTCCACTTTCTGTTTCTTGTCACAGGCTCTCTTTTGTTACAGACAGTGAGGGAACAATTCTTCACTATTCCCACAGCAAAACAAGCCCTGTTAGTGGTCAGCTTACAGTAAAAATTATAAAATATAAAGAAGTAATCTACCACGAACAAGAGTTAACACACACAACTAAAAAGACAAAGTTCAGAATTCGCAATAATGGTATCATAATCAGAAAGAGAATAGAAAATTATATTTTAAATCATTAGACATAAAGAAGGAATTGAAACCAAAAGAACAATATTGGGAAAAGGACCACAGAGAACTTCCAGAAGTAAAAAATCTATTCATTGACATTTAATACTTAATAGGCTAAACTGCAGATGAGTTACAACCAAAAGATCAAATAATGAACTTAAAGATAGATTTGTGGAAATTCCTCAGAATAAAAGATATGTCAAGAGATGGAATGTATGAAAGATCTAGGTAATTTTTTTTTTTTTTGACACTCTGTTGCCAGGCTGGAGTGCAGTGGCGCAATCTCAGCTCACTGCAACTTCCGTCTTCCAGGATTAAGCAAAAGGCGGATTAAGCACTTCAACTTCTGCCTTCCAGGATTAAGCAAAAGGCGAATTAAGCACTCCTGCCTCAGCCTCCTGAGTAGCTGGGATTACAGGGGCATGCCACCACTCCCAGCTAATTTTTGTATTTTTAGTAGAGATGAAGTTTCACCATGTTGGCCAGACTGGTCTTGAACTCCTGACCTCAAGTGATCCGCCTGCCTCAGCCTCCCAAAGTGCTGGGATTATAAGCATGAGCCGCTATTTTATCTGATAGAAATTCCAAGGAAAAGAGTAGGAAACTGGTGGAGATAGAGCATTCTGACATTTGACAGAAGACACTTGGAAGTAAGATGTGAATCTTAATATTCACAAATCTAATGAGCATTGTACTAGATAGTCTACCCCTGGGCGATTAGACAAGAAAAAGAAAGAAATGGCATCCAGCTTGTAAGGGAAGAAGTAAAACTATCCTATTTGAGTGTGACATGATCATTCATATAGAAAACCCTAAGGAATCCACACACACATACACAAAACTAAAACTACAGAGCTCAGCAGAGTTGTAAGATACAAGATCAATACACAAAAATTAGTTGAATTTCTCTCCACTAGCAATAGACAATCTGAAAATGAAATTAAGAAAACAATTCCATTCACAGAAGTATCAAAAAGAATAAAATACTTAGGAATAAATTCAACCAAAGGAGTGTATGACTTCTTAGTGTTGAAAGACATTAAAAACGTAAATAAAGATTTCCCATGTTCATGGACTGGAAGCCTTAAAATTGCTAAATACACCCTAAGTTGATCTAGATTCAGGGCAATCCCTATCAAACTTTAAATAGGCCCTCGTTGCGATTGGAAAACACATCCTAAAATTCATATGGAGATGCAAGGGACCCAGGATAGTCAGAACAATCTTGGGAAAGGAGAAAGTTGGAGGATTCACACATCAACAACAACAATAAAAAACAGAAAACAGTGAAATAATATCATCAAAATGCTCAGAGAATGTTACTCCTTATCCAGCTATGCTACTGTTCTCAAAAAGAGGGTAAATTAAAAGACATTTTCCAGCAAATACTGAGAGACAGCACCATTTATTTATAGAGCTTTCATGAGAAAAAAAAAAAATGTCCAAATGATTTGGACATCATTTGCCACTGATGTCCAAATAATGGCAAATAAATTAGTAAATATGGATATATTGAAACTCATGTTGTATTTAAATTTTAAAAAATAATAGACCAATTCACACAGTACAAAAATAAAATAGAAATAAGATATGTACAGCAATAAAAGGTAAGATTGGAATAAGATTCTTATTCCAATAAGATTCAAGTGATTTTCCTGCCTCAGCCTCCCAAGTAGCTAGAATTATGGGCATGCACTGCCACACCCGGCTAATTTTATATTTTTAGTTAAGGTGGGGTTTCTCCATGTTGGTCAGGCTGGTCTTCAACTCCTGACCTTAGGTGATCTGCCCACCTCAGCTTCCGAAAGTGCTGGGATTACAGGTGTGAGCAACCACACCAGGCCAGGAGGAGATTTTTATATACTCAGATCTGTTTTGTTTTGTTTTGTTTTTTGAGACAGAGACTTACTCTGTAGCCCAAACTGGAGTGAAGTGGCATAATCTTGGCTCACTGCAACCTCTGCCTTCTGAACTCAAGCAATTCTTGTGCCTCAGCCCCCTGAGTAGCTGGGACTACAGGTGCGTACCACCACATCTGGCTAATCTTTTGTATTTTAATTGAGACGGGGTTTTACCATGTTGCCCAGGGTGGTCTCAAACTCCTGAGCTCAGGCAATCTGTCCACCTTGGCCTCCCAAAGAGCTGGGATTACAGGCATGAACCACCACACCTGGCCTCAAGTTCTTAAACTTAGCAATCTATCTATCTATCTATATATATATGTATATATTTTTAATTATTATTAATTTTTTGAGATGGAGTTTTGCTCTTGTTGCCCAGGCTGGAGTGCAATGGCGTGATCTTGGCTAACCAAAACCTCTGCCTCCCAGGTGCAAGCGATTCTCCTGCCTCAGCCTCCCAGGTAGCTGGGATTACAGGCATGTGCCACCACGCCCAGCTAATTTTGCATTTTTAGTAGAGACAGGGTTTCTCCATCTTGGTCAGGCTGGTCTTGAACTCCTGACCTTAGGTGATCCACCTGCCTCGGCTTCCCAAGGTGCTGGGATTACAGGTGTGAGCCACCGCGCCTGGCCTTAATATATATTTTTATCAACTTAACTTAGGCTAGTTTTCAAAACAGTAATTAGAAGGCCGTTGGGAAGATGCTGCTTCTAGTAGGAATGAGAAGTAGAGCTGATGTACAAATGATTAAAAGCAAATGTGGGAGCCCAAAGCTAAGTTGTCTGTACAACCATGTTACCCTCACAGCCCCTGGGGGCAGCACTGTCTTGCAGGATCATGATAGGGGCCAAGAAGGTGGCCCCAAAGGTTGAGTGGTGGTCTATTGAGGAAGCAAAGAAGGTTATAGCTTTAGATGATCAGAATCAATGATTAAAATTAAGCCTTTGCATTTGAAGGGGCCTATTTCAATTTACTGGGTAATTGGACATATGGAATGTTTCATCCATCCCACCATGGATGAGATATTGTCGTGGAGTCAGATTTCATCAATGTCTGAGATTCCTATAGTGTACCAGGCGTGGTTCTAAGTGCTTTCTCACATGAGTCAAAAGCCAGATGTGGAGCTTCCTCTGTAGTGCAAGTCAAGCCCTTCTTCTTTTGTTTTAGGGAACAGGTGGGACATGGGGATAGGGTGGGACAGGGGTCAGGAGGTTAGGCCGCCTACGGCTCAATCTTCACCCATAAACCCTAAAATGAAGAAGTCACTTGACAGGTAGCACCTTGGTACTGAGCACCCCGCTGGTCCTTCCCATTCGGGGGAGAGGCCTGTTGGAGAAAAATCTCCAAATAACAGGAGAGGAAATCCATGCCAGCCATTTGTTTGATAAATAAATGTACTCATTCATTCCTAAGTATAAACAGACTAGTAAGATCACCGGAGCTTTGAGGAAGACTGAAGCACACATCCCCAAAACGGATAAAGATGAGAAAAAGTGAACTGATCTCAGAGGAAATCAAATAGATGACTCAAGGAACACAGAAGAACATTTAAAGTTTCAATTTAGCATCCACAGGGATATTTAAAAGGTAATGTAGCATAATATAAGAAATTTAAAAAGAGAGAACAGAAAAGAACTCACAGAAAGGGAAAGTATTTTTTAAATTTCCCGGAGTTGAAGAAAAACACAACTCTTCAGACTGGAAGGGTATACCAAGTACTAAGCAGAAATTAAAAAGTATCCTCAAAGAAATGCACTCGTGAGATTTCAGAACTATAAAGGCAATAATTTTTACAAATTATTTATATACTTACATTTATACTGTTAAATCTTATTTTGCATAATGTAGCTAAGTTGAATTGTCTTGATAGTGTGTGTGTCGCCAATAAAGGAAGTGTTTTGCCCTCAAATACAGCTTCATTACAAGGTTCTGCTGCAATGCATGTGGTACAGAGAGTAGGCAGGGCAACTGTCATGCTTCGTTACCTGCAAAGAAATCAGGTGTCACACAGCTGAGCAGTTTGTCCACAGTCACACAGCTAGGATGTAAGAGAGCCACTTCTAGAACTCAGTTGTCTTGAGTCTGACCTAAGTTTCCATTTAGTTAGACGCTAGGGCACTGATACGCCAATTTTCAGGTTTTGTGACTGTGATTTATGATTTTTTTTTTTTATATGGAGTTTTCCTCTTGTTGCCCAGTCTGGACCTCAATGGTGCGATCTTGGCTCACTGCAACCTTTGCCTCCCAAGTTCAAGCAATTCTCCTGCCTCAGCCTCCCGAGTAGCTGGGATTACAGGCATGCGCCACTAAGCCTGGCTAATTTTGTATTTTTAAGTAGAGGTTTCTCCATGTTTGTCAGGCTGGTCTCAAACCCCTGACCTCAGGTGAGCCACCATGCCTGGCGTTTTTTTTGTTTTGTTTTGTTTTTTTAATAGTAGTGATGGGGTTTCACCATGTTGGCCAGGCTGGTCTTGAACTCCTGACCTGTGATCCACCCACCTTGGTCTCCCAAAGTGCTGGGATTACAGCTGTGAGCCACAGTGCCCGGCTGACAATTTATGCTTCTTAATTCTCAGGTACCCAGCATCCGAGTGGGCAACACTCTAGAGGCAGGGAATGTGGAGCAGGGCCAGTGCTCCTGCACCACAGTTCTCCTGTGTGCTGGTGAGTCAAGCATTCTACTCCCTGGTATCTGTGCTGAACCTAGTGTGCTAACTTAAAATCTATGTATCAGAATTTCTCTAGGAATTGAATTTCAACTAAAATCTCTATTCTTTATGTTCTTTCCAATTTACAAAGTTAAAGCTTTTAATTATGATTTTCTCTTATGATAAACCAACTAATGTTACACTTGGTACTACTGAAATAATTCTAAAGGCAGTTGTTAGCATGCACAGTCTTCTGTTATGACCATAGCCTGAGTCGCTGCTTCTCCATGTTCCTGGACCACTGCCTCCTCTGGCAGTTGCAGTGTGCTGGAATCTGAGCAGTTAGAAATGGTGCCGATTGTGCTGACTTCGTATCCAGCATCTCTTCTGTTAAGTCTCCCTTAGTAAAGGGAGTCAGAATCATCTGACTGGCGGGGCATGGTGGCTCACGCCTGTAATCCCAGCACTTAGGGAGGCCAAGGTAGGCTGATCACTTGAGCTCAGGAGTTCAAGACCAGCCTGCATAACACAGGGAGATGCCCATCACTAGAAAAAATACAAAAATTAGCCAGCATGGTGGTGCACCATTGTAGTCCTAGCTACTCAGGAGGCTGAGGCAGGAGAATCATCTGAGCCCGAGAGTTCACGGCTGCAGTGAGCTGAGATTGTGCCACTGCACTCCAGGTTGGGTGACAGAGTGAGACCCTGCCTCGGGAAAAAAAAAAAAAGAATCATCTGACCTTTGATTTTTTTCATAGATAATAAGAAAAGACTATTTACATGGTTGCATTTCTTAAATCACTGACACATATATCTCATGGGAACTCAGCCCCAGTACCTGCTGCACTCTGGAGAATTGCCATTTCCTGGTGCTGCTTCTGTATTTTCCAGGTGTTCGCCCACTTGCCGTAGAACTTTTACTTGCAGTTTTGAAGACTGCGGTTGCCTATGTATTCACCAGTGACAAGTAAGCATTCATCTAGAAAAATGTCTTTAGTTTTATGCTTTCTTTTATATTTTTCTGATTATGAGAGGTAAGTAGCATTTTCCTTCACAGGAAAAATTGTAGTACAGCCAGGAATGAGAAGCATAGCACTAAATTTGAATGGATTTCAATGAAATGAAAGTCATTACCCACTCCTTCAATACCCGATTTATCAAACCTGAGTAGAGTTGTCCTGGTGGCACCTGCTGACCAGCAGGCTTTCTTTAGAGCAAGTAGGAGGGACGGGACATCTTTACCTTGGGGAGGGCACTGTGGCCCATTTCATGTGCTTCCCCTCTAGATCCGTCTCACGAAGCTGCTTCTGCCGTGTCCCTCTCCAGAGCCCCAGTATCTTTCTGCAGAGCTCCCCAGGCCCATCTTCCACCATAACTGAACAGAGTTCAGTGGCTCCCTGAGGAAGCAAATGCTTCCTATGTGAATACCAGCCTTCAACTCCATTTTTGAGGATGATTCCCACACCCAGGCTGAAACCTGTATCAAGTTCTTCCCAATCCCCGCATTTACAGATCCAGAAACAGAGTTTTTGGAATTACCCTCTATAGTGGCAGCCTTGTCCCATTAACCTAAATTCTGTACAGTAATAAATTTTAAATCAGTGAGGTTTTATTATGTAGTGGCTTTGTAAAAAAAGAAATGTACTGTTTTGACTGAATTTACTGATAAATTTGTCAGGTTTGTCAGATCAGTAGTTAATTAACACCCCACTTTAATGTGATTTTTAGATCACTAGCTACTTTCTTTTCCTCTTACAGAGTAATATATTACTTCCCTTGTGAGCCAAGTGATGCCTATTTTTGCTCCCTTTCATCTACCTGATGCACTTGCAGTATTTGGAGTGATTTTACTCTAATAAAGATAGCAAAATTTGTTTTGGGTTTCTAGCTTTTTAATTAAAAAATAAATGTCAGTGATTTTGTTTTTAAAAAGAGAAAGCTCTTGCTTTAGACAATGTGAGTCACTTGAGGGAAGATGGGTTATTAGAGAATGTAGCCTCTCCTCTCAAGGTGAAGAGGCTTGGATCAGAGAGTTCTCCCCTTCTCTAACTTCATCTGTGCCTGAACTCTAGGTGTTGTATACAAGTAGTGAGGTGACCTCTGCTTGAACCCTGCACTGCAGGCTATGCCACCTTTGAGTTGACTCTGACCACTAGAACGTCCCTGTCTGGAGGGGAACATCACACACTGGGGTCTGCTGGGGGGTGGTGGGGGTAGGGGAGGGATAGCAAGGGGTGGAGGGATTCGGGAGGGATAACATTAGGAGAAATAACTAATGTAGGTGACAGGGGGGTGGATGCAGCAAACCACCATGGCATGTGTGTATACCTATGTAACAATCCTGCGTGATCTGCACATGTACCCCAGAACTTAAAGTATAATAAATAAAAAAACAATGGATTCATTAAAAAAAAAAGAAAAGAAAATTATTAAATCAGGACTCCATGCATTAACATGGATGAAACTGTAGAAACATAATGCTTAGCAAAAAAATAAAACTTTCAGAATGAAAAAAGAAAAAGAGGCTGGGCAAGGTGGCTCATGCCTGTAATCCCAGCACTTTGGGAGGCCGAGGCGGGTGGATCATGAGGTCAGGAGATCGAGACCATCCTGGCCATGATGAAACCCCATCTCTACTAAAATGCAAAAAATTAGCCGGGCGTGGTGGTGCATGCCTGTAGCGTCAGATACTTAGGAGGCTGAGGCAGGGGAATCGCTTGAATCTGGGAAACGGAGGTTGCAGTGAGCCGAAATCATGCCACTGCACTCCAACCTGGCAAAAGAGCAAGACTCCATCTCAAAAAAAAAAAAAAAAGAAAAAAGAAAAAGAAAGTCCCTGTATCGGCCTATCTGTGGGTTTACAGGGATTTGAAGACCTGCTCTACCCCAGAATCAGCCCATCAGGCTTATTCCTAGTTGAGTTTTTTCCTCATGACATGATTTCTAGGCATTAGTCATCTTGCCTTTTTTTCAACGGAAGTTCTTGCACTTTGTCCACGTCGTCCTGAAGATGTGGCACCTATTGAAATTGGCTGTGAGAAGTGTGGATGGGAAGCCTGCAATGGCGTTAATGTTTTCCAGCCATGAATGATATTAGGCTAATTTCTGCGGAGATGCCATTGATGAAACCTCTGCATCTTTTTTTTTTTTTTTTTTTGAGACTGAGTTTTGCTCTTGTTACCCAGGCTGGAGTGCAATGGCGCGATCTCGGCTCACCGCAACCTCCGTCTCCTGGGTCCAGGCACTTCTCCTGCCTCAGCCTCCTGAGTAGCTGGGATTACAGGCACGTGCCACCATGCCCAGCTAATTTTTTGTATTTTTAGTAGAGACGGGGTTTCACCATGTTGACCAGGATGGTCTCAATCTCTTGACCTCGTGATCCACCCGCCTCGGCCTCCCAAAGTGCTGGGATTACAGGCTTGAGCCACCGCGCCCAGCTTTTTTTTTTTTTTTTTAATTTTTGCTTTTGCATCTTTTTTTTTTAACTTACAAAATGTTCTTAAATAGTCAAGATAAAGAGTTAGAGATTTAAGTCTTGTTACCTGACAGGTTTCTGATGAAAGGGGCTGTGGATTTTTCGGGCTGTTGTTGTTAATATAACTTTAGAAACAGAAGATTTCCCTTATCTCTTACATGATGTGCTGTTCCTGTTTTGAGTTAGGGCCGTTTGACCGTATCCAAACTTGTAAGATATGAATATAGGATTCTGAGGCTTGTGATGATGATAAATGTGACAGAAACACTGGGTTTGGTTTTCCTCTCCGTAGGGCACCTGTGGTGGAGTCCTGAGAGGTACAGGAAAACAAAAGATTGGCATTATATTGAATGCCATTGGGTACGTCTTTGGTTTTTCCACTGGAGTATCTTTGATGTTTGGCACTAAACTTGGGATAATAGGTATGTGTTTGACTCCTGTGATTAATCTTAAATCTCACCTGTCATATTAAGATAAACTGCTTGAGACAGAAAACAATTAACTCTAACCCCACTGGAAACAAGAAGAAAAAAACTTTTTTTTAATTGCATTTTCGGTTTTGGGGTACATGTGAAGAACAAGCAAGATTGTTGCATAGGTACATACATGACAGTGTGATTTGCTGCCTTCCTCCCCATCACCTATATCTGGCATTTCTCCCCATGCTATCTCTCCCCAACTCCCCACTCCCCGCTGTCCCTCCCCTATTTCCCCCAACAGACCCCAGTGTGTGACGCTCCCCTCCCTGTGTCCATGTGTTCTCATTGTTCAACTCTTTAAAAAAGCAATCAACTAGAAAGCTGCCCTTGTGTAATAGGAAAAATTATTTTCTCCCCAATAGTGATTCAGTGCCTCTGGAAATGCAGTGGCAAACAAAATAAACATGGCTCTGCCCTATGAATGAGGGCCAAATTAAATAATTATTTGTGTAATTGTCAATCCCTGTTGGTTAAGCACTGCAAAAGAGAACAGGGCGCTGCTCTTTTTTCCTACATAATACCTCTAGTAGTACAATAAGTTGTGGTAGTGGAAATTCTTGTCTTATTTATCACTTTAGTGACAGAGCTGCCAGTGTTCCTCTACTCAATGGTATGCTGGATTTGAGGTTGAAATACACGCACACACACATGCACATGTGCGCACACACACATAACTATGTATGTATGTGCTCGTGTTTTTTGAAATCACGTTCAGGAAATGTCCATGAAGCCTATCTTATTGAAACAAAAATGGCTGGCATTTTGTCAGATGCCTTTTTAGTGCGATTAGAAATAAGTCTATAATTTTTCTCCTTAGGTCAATTATGAAGATAAATAATATTAATTGGTATCCTTATATTGAACTCTCCTGATGATATTTTGTTCTTTTATTGAATTGCTACACTTTCTTAATATTTTATTTAAAAATTTTGCACTAAAATTTATAAGTAAGATTGGTCTGTAACTGTATTTTTTGTGTATCTTTGTCAGGTTTTGGTATTAGTGATATTAATATTATACTCATGTCATAATTAAAAATTTTTCCTTTTTGCATGCCTCAGGACAGTGTAAACAGTATAAGGATTATCTCTGTTTGATAAAGGTTTGGTGTAATTCTTCCATGAAACTGCCATGGCCTGGCATTCTGAAGTAGTTTATTCTTTGTATAGCTTTCTCTATTTCTTCTTGGTCTGTTAAGACTTTCTTTTATTGTGTCAACATGGGTAAGTCATATTTTTTAAGGAAATTATCCACCTTACTGAGGTTCTAAATGTAAAGAATTGTGCAAATTAACTTACTATGTGCTTTTGGGATAAGTTGCCACACATGTGTTTTGCATCTATGTTCACATCTTCATTTTTTATAGATTTAGGAACAATTAATTCTAGTTTCTCTTTTTAAAAAGTCTAACTAGAAAATGGAATGCTGTAATGTGTATTCAAATAACTCCTTTTGTTCTCTATCCAACCAGTGCATTATTTTTCCTAGGTAAAAAACTCTGATTCTGTCCCCATTTCTTTGTAAAGTATTAGTCTTGCAGCTGTCACAGGAACTTTGTATCAACACAAACACGGGCTGTTACTTATCATCTTTTTGGAAATGTCATCTAGTGGATTAATGAGTAACTGTCTTCTGTGTCATCTTTCATTTTAATGACTGGTACAGGCTGGGGCCCATAGGATATGTAATTTCAAGCTGGAATTTGTCGTTCTTTTTTTGGGGACAGAACAGCCAAATATGTATTACTGTCTCTTCTCTACCAAGCACTCTTGGATTCCCAATACTCTTTTCCATACCATGGCTGGAGGGATTGTTTTCAAAACGAGCATGAGGTCTCACATCTGTGGATGCACACACCAGGCTTACGTTCTGCGGTGGGTCCCCGTCAATGCGCACATCCCACGTGTCCTCCTGTGGCTCCCACATCCTTTGAGCCTGCTCCTCTGATCCCGTCTCCTGGATGCTCCCCTGCCACTGTGCTCCTTTCTGACTGGCCTCTTGGCTCCTGGGACTCCTCTGGATGGGGTTCTTCTGTTCCCTCTGCCTGCAGTGCCTGTCCTAGACTTCTCATGGTATCTTCTCACTATCGGGTCCCACCTTACAGGGGCCGGGCTGTCTCATTCACATTCTCATCTGCAGGTCTTTGGTGCTATGACATGGCTCTGCCCGGTGTCTGTCCTGGCACCTCTCACTCCTAAAATGGCTACATGATTGCTTCCTTATTATTTGTCCTGCACAGTAGAAGAGGACACCTTCCTTGTCTGCGTGTTCTGTATCTCTAGCCCTTAAAACAATACCTGGCACAAAATTGAAGGCAGTAAATATTTGTTAACATATAAACAGCAAACAGTTTTGGAGGTTTTGTGTTGTTCATTGATTGAATGGTTGCCATGAATAGCTCAGTGGTGGACTTGAGTCTAATCTTTGCCCATAATTATCTAAAATTTTAGGAAAAATAATTTAACTGAAATTTCACTCTATGGATACAGTAGTTAGGGAAGAATTATTATTATTATTTTGAGACAGAGTCTCGCTCTGTCACCCAGGCTGGAGTGCAGTGGTGCAATCTCAGCTTACTGCAACCTCTGCTTCCCAGGTTCAAACGAGTCTCCTGCCTCAGCCTCCCTAGTAGCTGGGACTACAGGTGCGTACCACCACACCCGGCTAATTTTTTGTATTTTCAGTAGGGACAGGGTTTCACTGTTGTTAGCCAGGATGGTCTCCATCTCCTGACCTCGTGAACTGCTCGCCTTGGCCTCCCAAAGTGCTGGGATTACAGGCATAAGCCACTGCGCCTGGCATTAGGGAAGAATTTTAATGCTCATAGGAACAGAATTGAAAAAAAACCAAACTCTGATTTCATTTTACACCATAGGTCTCTGGTCTGGATTGATAGTTTGTGTCTTATTTCAAGCCCTTTT